TTCTGCCACAGATCCAACCAGCAACAAGTGAATGAACCATCAACTGAAACCTAAGCCAGAATGAAACTTTCCTCCTTATAAGTTGATTATCCTGGGTATTCTGTCACAGTCATGCAAAGGTGACTAACAAAGGAGCTAAGATGAAACAGTCGTCTGCTTATAAAATGAATTTTGCTGAAATTAAGTGCCCAAATTTGTTTCTTTACACCTATTTCTTTTCTGTGAATAATAACAGTGTTATTATTGTTTTTAATAATAATCCTAATTCATTTGCCATTAAGCATCATGTTTACCACCACTAATTGTGAATTAAAGGCCTACAGAAAACAAAACAAAAAAAGAAAAGATGGAGTTTGAAGCAAATAATCCTAATTAAATGACTGAAAATATTTTTTAAAAGCTGCTCATGTCATTTTAAATTATCTGTCATTTTCTTTAAGTGTCTCTTCCTAATAGCTGGCAAAATTATAAATAGCAGATACATCATTTAAAATCCATCAAAGAAATCATAACAGCAGCATGCATTCAGGTATACTAGCACCAAAGCTCTCTCCAAATTTCGATAAGACTCATCTAACATCTCTAGGCCTCAGTGTTTTTAAACTGAAAAGGTAACTTTAGATAAATTTTAATGGGTCTTTCAAATGGAAAATTCTATGAATGTAGGACACCTGGATGTTTTCTGTTGCTTGGAATCCCCTGGGTATGTTCCAAGGTAGATTCATGCTAACACATTCAGAAAGCCAGTTCCATTTATGCAACAAGCTATGCTCACGGATACTCAGACTCTAAGTCAATGAAAAGTCCCCTGACTCAATACATCTTTCAAAGCTATTGTACCCAAAGTATAGTAGCTTCCAAGGTTCTGGAGACAGAAACTCAATGAAGTAAGGCCATTGTTTTCATTTTAATTTCATTTTAACTCTAAATGCAATATAAGAAATAATATAATTGTCATGTGCGTATTAAGAATATCTCTTACAATGAACTACAAATAAAAACTACATGCAAAAACAAAAATTAAGATTCCGAGAGCAAACAGTGTTTATGAAAAGACTAAAGATATCACTATTTTATACTTTAATCCATGGGTACTGATAATTATACCAATATTTAGACTCTTTCCTCTGCCTCATCCACAGCACTGTTTTTTTCACAGATCTGTTTTTAACCTCAGTTTAGCCACATTTTTCAGCCTCGATTCATGTCACTGCCTCTCCTAGTATAATACATTATTGACCTGTCCAATTCAATGATGCAGCCCCTAATATGTTATGCACAATAGGCACCTAATACACTTTTATGAAATGGTAAGAAAACAGCTATATATCTGAACTTTGGGTATTACCTACACAGAAGATACCTGTGCTTCAGACTCACACCACAAATATTTCATGTGGCAACTCTTCTGGACCACATGGCCCTGCAAACTTACTCAGTAATTCCTTCTAACAAAACCATTCCTCATTCTAGATATACTCAGACTCTCTCTTCTACAAGAAGTTTTAGATGACAGAAAGGTAAGCTCACATGAACACACATTTCTGGCTTCCTCTTCTTCAGACATTAACTTCTACAAATAAATCTGTAATTTAAACCAATGTTTTATTCCTTTAAACAAATAATATTTCCATCTGGGTTTTTAAATAATTTTTAAAAAACAGTTAGGCTGGGGGTGTAGCTTCGTGGCAGAGCACTCACCTAGCATGTGCCAAGCCCTGGGTTCAATTCCCAGCAATGCAAAAACAAACAAAAATACCACCAGCAACAACAACAACAAAATGTTATTCTATATTAACAAATATTTAAAACAAAAGAGATTTTAAAAAATGTAGACACTAAATATACTGTATCAGGAAATGAGTAAGAAAAGACCTGAAGATGAAAACGTTCATGTTTCATTTCTCTGCACCCTCTCATGATCTTTCTGTGGAAAGATTAAAGATTGAGATGAAAGAGATACAGTGGCAGAGCATTTGACATGAATACAGAAATGGAATCCTTTTCAGGCCCAGAGATGCTAACATAATATTTTGTACTTCACTACTCACCATTAAATCCCAGGATGTGATATTTTGATACTTTTAAAAGAAATAAAATAGGAAAGGAGACAAAAGGAAAAATGGAAACATACATATTAGCCTGTGCTTCTTAAGTGAGCTTTAGAACTCAAAGTACTTTAGGCCTCCAGGTTTTGAAACAGGTAAATTCCAGGAGGCTGAGTCTGAAATTTACAGTTCATTGGCCTGTGCTAAGGAGGAGATAGGACTTTGCACCTGGCTGCCAACCTTTAAGGATACTGAAGGCTCTTTCCAGAGACTAGTCCTGGACAAGAGGAAAAAAAAATTGAAAAGGTTTATTACTTATATTGTAAAACTTTGTTTCTCAAAAACAAGGGAGTTTATTTATCTTCCATGATAAAAATATTGTGATAGAAATAATCTTCATGGCTTTGTAGAAATCCAATACACAGGATGAAAGTGGGAAAGCTGTGGTCTATGATGGGGAGAACAGAGGAACAGATCAGGGTCTCACTTCAATGTTATAATTTAGGTAGGTATCCCCTATAGGCTTGTGCTACAGGCTTGTAATCACCAGCCTGTGGTGTTACGGAGAGGTAGTGGAGCCTTTCAGAGGTGCAGTTAGCTGGAGGAAGTTTGGTCACCTACGAAGTACCACTGAAGGGGATTTTTTTAATATTTTTGTTTGTTTTAATTAGTTATACGTAACAGTAGAATGCATTTATGCACTTTGATATATTATACATAGATGGGATATAATTTCTCATTTTTCTGAGTGTACACTTTGCAGAATCATATTGGTCATGTAGTCGCATATATACATAGAGTAATCATGTCTGTTTCATTCTACTATCTTTCCTATTGCCACATCCCCTCCTCTCCTATCAATTCCATCTACCTAATCTAAGGTAATGCTTCCCTAGTGCCCCCTACCTTCTTGTGAAATAGCATCCATATATTAGAGAAAAAAAATCAGCTTTTGGTTTTGTGGGATTGGCTTACTTCACTTAGCATGATAGTCTCCAACTTGATCATTTACTGGCAAATGCCATAATTTTACTCTTCTTTAAAGCTAATATTCCATTGAGTATTTATACCACATTTTCTTTGTCTCTTCATCTATTGAGGGACACCTACACTGATTCCATAGTCTAACTATTGTGAATTGAGCTGCTATAAACATTGATGTGGCTGCGCCCCTGTGGTATACTGAATTTAAGTCCTTTGGGTATAAACCAAGGAGTGGGATACTGGGTCAAATGGTAGTTCCATTCCCAATTTTCTGAGGAATCTCCATATTGCTTTCCAGAGTGGTTGTACCAATTTGCAGTTCCACCAGCAATGTATGACTGTACCTTTTTCACTACATCCTCGCCAATATTTATTGTTGCCTATATTCTTCATAATTGTCATTCTGACAGGAGTGAGATGAAATCTAAGAGTAGTTTTGATTTGCATTTCTCTAATTGCTAGAGATGTTGAACACTTTTTCATATAGTTTTTGATCAACTGTATTTCTTCTTCTGTGAATTGTCTGTTCAGTTGCTTAGCCCATTTATTGACTGGGTTATTTGGGTTTTTGGTGTTAAATTTTTTGAGTTCTTTATATATTCTAGAGATTAGTGCTTTATTGGAGATGCATGTGGTAAAGATTTTCACCCAATCTGTAAGCTCTCTCCTCATTTAATTGTTTCCTTTGTTAAGAAAAAGCTTTATAATTTGAATCTATCCCATTTATTAATTATTGATTTTACTTCTTGCACTTTAGGAGT